CTTATATGGGATCTGTATATCCTCTTGAGTGAAATTTCTGGATTTTTTTTCTGTTTAATTTGAAATGTTTAGCCTTTGGCTGTAGAGTTTTGAAATTTCTTCACATGTGTTCTTGATACTAGTCCTTTGTCAGATGTGTGGTTTGCAAATATTTTGTCCCAGTCTATAGCTTATCTTTTTAACCTCTTAATAAGATCTGTTACAGAATAAAACTTTTCCAGTTTGATGAGTCCAATTTACCCATTTTTTCTTTTATGGATTGTGCTTTTGTTGTCAAGTCTAAAAACTTGTTACTTAGACCTACATCTTAAGTATTCTCTATGTTTTTCTAAAAATAGTTTTTCATTTTACATTTAAATCTGTCATCAATTTTGACTTAATTTTTATATAAGTAATGAGGTTTATTTAAGTCAAGATTCATTATTTTTTATCCATTTTTTATTGAGTTGATCATCTTTTTGTTGTTGAATTGTATCTATTCCTTATGTATTCTGGATACAACTCCTCTGTCAGATATATGTATTGTGGATATATTTCCCAAGCTATTTATTTTTTTAACATTATCTTTTGATGAACAAACATTTTTAATTTTTATGAGGTCCAACATACCATGATGAAGACTATGGTTCTTTTTTAAATTAAAGTAAATTAAGTTAAAATTTAATTTAATGTTATGTCATTTTATTTTATATTTGAGAGAGACAGTGCAAGCAGGGGAGGGACAAAGGGAGAGGAAGAGAATCTCAGTCAGGCTCCATGCCCAGCATAGAGCCCATTGCGTGGCTTGATCTCACCACCATGAGATCGTGACCTGAGCTGAAATCAAGAGTCAGACACTTAACCAACTGAGCTATCCAGGCATTCCTTGTTAAGTGCTTTTATATCTCAGCTAAGAAATCTTTGCTTACTACAAAGGACATGAAGACATTCTCCTGTGTAATCTTCTAGAATATTTATCATTATGTCTTTTATATTTAAGGCTATAATCTATTTTGAATTATTTTTGTGTATGAAGTAAGGGAGAGATCAAAGAGGTTTTTTACCCCACCCTCTTTTGATATCCAGTTTTTCCAGCACCATTGGTTAAAACTAGTCTATTTTCCTATTGAATAGACTTGGTGATTTGGTTAAAAATCAATTTACCATATATGTATGGATTTATTTCTTGACTCTATTCTGTTCTATTGATTTACTCATTTATCCTTATGCCAAAACCACACTGCCTCTAATAATGTAGCTTTATAATATATCTTGAAATCAGATCTTGTTAGTTCTCCAACTCAGTCCTTTTGCAAGATTATTTTGGTTATTCCATATCACTTGCATGTATATGTTTTATAATCAGATTGCCAAAATCTTCAAAATATCTTGCTAGAATTTTGATTGGAATTTCATTGACTCCATAGATGAATTTAGGAAATAGATATTTTAATATTTTTCAAATCCATGAATATGATATATCTCTCCATTGATGTTGGTCTTCTTTAAGTCTTTTGGAGTGTTCAAGCAGAGAGACTTTGTACATCTTTTGGTTGATTAATTCTATATTTGGTTATTTTTGTGGTATTGGTATTTTTTATTTTTTTCCAATTTATTATTGCTAGTGTTACGGAAAAGCTATAGTGTTTTTAAAAGTTACCCTGTATCCTGCGACTTTACTAAATTCACTTACTAATTCTGGTGGCTTTGTTTTGTTTATTTTTATTAAGTTTATGTATTTATTTTGAGAGAGATAGACATATAGAAACCATGAGTGGGGAAGAGGCAAGGAGAGTGGGAGAGAGAGAGAATCCTAAGCAAGTTCTGCACTATCAGTGCAGAGCCCAGTGCAGGGCTTGATCTCAAGAACCATAAAATCATGACCTGAACTGAAATCAAGAGTCAGATACTTAATTGAGTTACCCAGATGCCCCTTGATTTTTAAAAAATGTTTTATACAGTTTTCTACATATAGTATCATGTAATCTGAGAATAAAGAGAGTTTTACTTTTCTTTCCTTAATAAAAATGTGTCCTTTGTTTCTCTTTCTAACTTACTATAATGCTAGGACTTCCAGTAGAATATTGAAAGAAATGGTGAGAGCATACATCTTTGTTTCATTTCAGGGGAAAAAACATGAATGATTTCACCATTAAATATGCTATCATTTGTAGGTTTTTCAAAGATACTCTTTACCAGATTGAGGAAATTTACTCCTATTCTTAGTATTCCAAAAAAATTTTTTATCATGAATAAATGTTCAATTGTGTAAAATGATTTATCGCATGTATTGAAATAATTTTCTCTCTTATTCTGTTAAAATTATAAACTACATTGATTGATTTTTCAAATGTAAAATTAACCTTATATTCTTGGGGAATTTCCTCCCTCACCTTGGTCATGACCCAGAATCCTTTTTGTATATTTTTGGAACCAATTTGCTAATATATCGTTACAGATTTTTGTATCTCTGTTCAGAAGGGACATTAAGTTTTCTTTTCTTGTGTGTAATTTTTCCTTTGTTTAAATGAAATTGCAATGCTAATAAGTAAGTGTTATGCTGATTTCACAAAATACACTGAGAAATGTTTTTTTTCCTCTCTTTTCTGAGCATATATAAGGTTAGTATTCTTTCTTTATTAAATATTTGATAAAATTCACAAGTTAAATTATATGGGCCAGTAGCTATCATCATGGAAAGATTTTTTTTTTAAAAATAAATCAAAGTTCCTAAATAGATATTTAGAGCAAGGTTGTGGAGGATGGATAGAGTTCCCACACTATTGTAGCAAAGTTGTCTTTATTTAAAATCAGGGCCTACAGCTTGAGGCAATTCCATATGAGCACATAGATGGCCCAGTATCCTGGGTTTTCCCTATGCCCTTTCATTCTCTTGGTTCCTGGATCATCACCAAAACCTATGGAAACAAGAAAAGTTCCCAGTTAGCAAACTGTCAGGACTAGTAAATCAGGTAACATCTGTGGGCCCAGCAAACTGAAGAGAGCTTTTGTTTCCTCAATCTGTATTTATTGAGTCTTTACCATGCATTCAGCTCAGAGTTAAAAGATCAAAATAAGGAGAGCAGTGGGGGACACCCATTGCCTATAAGTCAAGAGTGAAGGGCAAATCCTTATAGTTGGTGCCTGGGGAGAGGAGGCAAAGAGAGCAAACACATGCCTCATCTAATGAGCTCGGGCTCTGCACAGAAACAAGAAGAGTGGCTGCAGCTCAGGGAGAAGACTTAGGTCTCTTGTGTTTCTTTCTCAGACTGATGTCTGAACTGAGAGGCCTCCCTGGACAGGACTCTCCACACCCAGCAACAGGATCCCAAATAGGAAGGCAACTAGAGCTGAAACACCTACATCCTTGACAGTTTGGTAGAGGACTTCCAGGGTCCGAATCAGATTCCCAGGCCCTTCCCCACACCCCACACTCAAAATGTTCTTGGTGGAGCTAAGAGCGCTTGCATGGTTCACAAGCTCCCAGGTGACTAGGTGACTAGCCACAGCACCCAAACCAACTCCTCACATTACAAGGGAAGGGAGAGCACCCAGAATAAGGCTAAGTCAGCATTCTGGGCTCTGTTATGTAAAGCTGCCAGCTGCCTGAAGTAACCTTTCTCTCTCCTTGGAACCTCCCAGAAACTTATGTCCTTGGGGTACTTACCCCACTTTGTTCCTGCCACACCTTCTAAGGTATGGACAGAGGGGAGGGGAGGAAACGGGGTACTGCTGTCAGACAGACTTGGACTCTGTGAACTCACCCAGCAAGGGCCAGCCGATACTATTCATTAAGACTATGACCTCCAAGAGGGGGGGCAACATGCCTTTTGTTTCTCCTGCTGGATCTGGCCCCCAGAGTCGTCAGTCATGTTTGTGGAACTGAAGAAGGAAGCCACATGTTGGTGCTAAGTGAAGACGACCTGAGGTGTCTACAAATACAAAGCCTGGAGGCGTACATGCTAAGACAGGAAGTGAGGCGGAGCTGCCTTTCCCCCACCTCCATTGATGCCTTCCCTGCTCACTTCCTTCCACTTCCAGTCCTTGTGTGTCACCTTTTCTCTCCTTCAAGATTATCTTTCATTTAATGTAGTAGTAGTAGTAGTAGTAGTAGTAGTAGTAGTAGTAGTAATACAGTCAGTGATTACTGAATGCTAGCCACGTGTCAGGCACTGTCCTCAGCTCTTCAGCTGTATTATCCCATGGCATCTTCACAACAGCCATGGGAGACACTGGCATAATCTCCACTGTAAGGTGAGAACTGAGGAATACAGAGGCCAGGAGCCTGCCCCAAGTCATACAACTTGAACCCAGTGGAACCAGGGAAGGAAACCAGGGCGACTTCATGCCCCAGATGCCTGAGGAGGGTGTGTGTGTGCTTGAGGTATGTGCATATAGTGTGGCCGTGGTGGTGGTGTGCGCGGTATACACATGGCGTGTGTGTGTGTGTGTGTGTGCATGCACGCACACATGCGTATGTATGTATGTGCAGGGAGTCAATGGGGGAGAGTGCAGAACACTTGCCCTCTGGACCATGCCAGCCCCCTGTGGCCCTGCAGAGCTACCTAGCTCCTAGCACTACAGAGCTTGTTCTTTCATACTTGCCAACAGGAAAAGATCCATTCCTACTGCACTTTGGGAAAAAAAGAGAACCCGGCAAGGAGGGCAAAGTGGGGGCAGAGAGCAGCTCATAAGAAGTAATTGGCTTCCTCTGTCCCAAGCCGTTCATCATTCTGTTCCTTCCTTGGTTGATGTACACACCAAGCCCCTGATGCAGTGACAGAGTGTCTGCCAGGGCCGATGCTGTGCTCACTGGGATGTGGCCCCCAGTGCCTGTAGGCATCCTCTGACTAGACTGAACCAAGGGTGCTGACGGGCTTGTTGTCCACAGGATGAAGTGCCACAAGCCATGTGCTGTCACGTGAACAGGGCAGCATAGCCCAGCAGGCTGCCTGATCTCACCCATGAAGCAGATCCATCCCTACCATTTAATGAATCTGTTGCCCAACCAGTGATCCAGTCTATAGAGTGTCTACCTGGACAGGATGCTGGGCATTAACAACAGGTGGAGTTTGGCTCTGAGGTCCTGAGGGCTGGCTGCCATTAGAAGCAGTCCAAAAGCAGCGCCCAGGGTTCCAGAGGGCAGAGATAATCTTCTTGTATTCCCTGCGGAAGTTCTGGTTCAGGAGCCCGTAGACTATGGCATTAAGGCAGCTGTTGAAATAAGCCAGGAAGTAGCTAGTGACAAAGAGCCCATCTGGGATCTGGGGAGCTATTTCTTCTGGGTTGATGGCCACAGCAAGGCCAATGCAGTTCAGCGGGGCCCAGCAGATAGCAAAGATCACAAACACCAAGAACATGGTCAGGAAGCTCCGGACATCGCTGGGCCTCAGGTGCAGCTTGGTCTCCGACTTGGCCTTCCTGCGGGACTGGAATACGAGCACCCAGATGCGCAGGTAGCAGAAGGACACGACAGTGATGGGGAGGAGGAAGTGAATGACTACCACCGCCACCGTGTACTGGGCGCTGACCGTCTGGATGAAGGTGCAGGAGTAGATGCGTGGGTCGTACTCCAGGGACCCTATGAGAAAGTTGGGCACCACGGCCGCCACGGTGAGGAACCAGATGAGGCAGATGTAGAAGGGGGTGTGCCAGTGTTGATAGATCCGGTGGTAGGCCATGCTGTGGCAGATGTAGCAGTAGCGGTTAATGGCAATGGCAGTGATGTTGAAGACAGAGCCGATGACACTCAGGCCCATCACGAAGCCACTAGCCTTGCAGTGCACCTCCCCCAGGACCCAGCCATCATGGAAGATGGCCACGAGGATCAGCGGGTACGGGTACAAGGCCACAACCAGGTCAGCCGAGGCCAGGCTCACCAAGAACAAATTACCTGGAGCAGGAAACAGGGGGCAAGAGTCAGCAAGAGACCCCACAATTTCTCTTCTGTAGAAGATCCCACCCTTTATCCAAGTACCTTTAACCAGTTACTTAAAAGTTACTGGGTTCACTAGTAGTCCTGGGGATGGAAACCTAGTAGCTTTAAGCGGCACAGAGTTCAGGGCTCACACTGCATCCCTGCTTCTCACTGTGTCATCTCAGGTGCTCCAGGCCTCATCTTTCTCATTTGTAGAATGGGAACCGGGATACCTACCTGACACGATAGCTGTGGAATAAAATAATGGTGCAAAGCGCTTGGGGACACAGTGGGTGCTCACAGATGATAGCAATTTTCAGGAGAGACACAGATGCTCGGGGGCTTTGCATCATTTATGTTCCAGCAAGGATTCCAAGGGACAAGGATCCAAAAATTAGGAAACTTGAATTAAAGACACTTAGAAAGTAGCCTGTTGACCAGTGAGGAGAAGATGTAAATGGAGACGTCAGAGAGATTTATAGGAAGGTAGGAGTATGGCAGGGAAGGGTGGTCATGAGTCCACTTTCCTGGCTTTGGGATTCAAAAGAAGAAAGGACTGGATTCCATGCTACCAGGCCAGGGGTCTGCCAATATGGCCACATGGCTGTGAATGTAGGCTCCAGGCAAGGCAAGACAGGGGATACCAGAGTACATGGTTCCTACTCTTGAAACCTTTCTTCTATTCCACCTGCAAAATCCAATTCACGTTTAGCAAATTGAATTAAAGACACTTAGAAAGTAGCCTGTTCTCCAGCTTTCTGAACTGCCTCCCTTGTCTGAATGGAGTGTTCTCTGGCATCACCAAGCTCAGCAGCTGGAGAGAACCTCTGGAAACCACAGCAGCCATTGATTAATATGCTTTGGACATGGTCTGGGCTAGAATCCAAGGGAAGCGAACGGGCTACATCCAAAAGAACATATTTCTATTGCTAAAACATTTGCATTCTAAAGCAAACACTGACTGATGTATAAAGCACCAAGAATCTGAAAGTTTGGCCCATGAAGCTCAGAGCATGAGAAGCTTGATCCCAGATGCCGCTTATTTAATTCGCCAAGTGCACTGTTTGAGCACCTACTACATGCTCAGAAGATGATATCCTCTCCAGCCATAGAGGCCCTCGGGAATGCACTGGGCACTAGACATCATCTTTCAAGTCTTCTAGCCTCTTGCCACATGATGGAGTGCAAGCTGCTGGCCCTTGAGCAGCTGAACACAGAGGGCAGATGGAATCGATTTGCAGGAGGGACTCCCCAAGGAAGCAAGGACACTGGCTCCACTGCCACCATGAATGTGTCCCTCAGGGGTCCAAAGATTAGGCAGATGGAAAGGGTCCAAAGGGTGCAGCAATCAGAGAGATCGGGCTGTGGTCTGGCTTCTAAGGGGGTGCAAAAAAAGGGAGGCTCAGAGCCACCCGGCTGGGGATTTTTCTGTCAGACCTTCAGGTGAGGTAGACTCCACAATTACAGTTACAAACCCACAAGGTAGAGAACGGGCTGTTTCCAGCCCTCCCCTGTTCCCACACACACTTACCACATCTAAAAGAAGATTCCACAGGATACACTCCATATGGGGGTGGGAACACCGAAGACCCCCAGGCAGTCCTCTTGAAGTGCCTATTTTGGCCTCACAGGCTTACTGTCAACCTCACTCAGAACCAATAGAAAAGAAGCCTCTTAGCTTCCTGGGACTTCTCAGGATCTAACTGCTCCTGAGTCAGAGCTACGTGAGGGCCCAAGGGAGATAGGATGTGACTGAATAGAAAGGACATCGTTTGGACAATTAAAGCGCTTGCAAGGTGGTGAGCTTTCCTATCTCTCGAGACATTCATGTAGAGATGGGGGTAAAGGAGCCCTGCCTTAGAGTGAACTGCTAGATTCCTTTCCTTCCCATTTAACTCTTTTAAGCATCTACTTACTTAACGGGATAAAAGCCCCTCACATTCTTTCTGCTTGGTACCACCAGGCAAGAAATGCACATCTGAGGACCTGCTTAAGTTGTGGAATAGGTCTCCTGCTTGTCCATTTAATTCCCAGTCTCCACTGGTGGATTTCAGTCTCTGACTCTCTTGCTCAGACCTCACCTGGTCCCAAGACGGAGAGGTATTTCCTCTCTCAATGTTCTTGTTCCCAGCTGAAATAGGAGCCCTTGTCTCTTCCCAGAATTGTAAGTGTCTTTTTGACACTGGGCGGTGGTGCTGGAAGCTGGGTAATGACCTGGGTAATCTCAGTTCTGCCACGCTGATGTTGGGCAAGTTACTGAATCTCTCTTTCCATGACTGTTCCTTCATGCTTCCCTCCTTTTCTTCTGGGATCCTCCTTCCTTCTCTCCCCACACAGTCCACTTGGCTGTTTCTGTGAAGAAAATCGCTTCTTTCTAACATAGGAGTGTTGGTCTCTGCAGGGCCCTCTGGGCTCCTGGTTGAGCAGCAAACAAGCTTTTGGCACTTGCAAGCACGTGCGGAGAAAGTCAAGGGCTGCTGGGAGCTGGTGCCAGCTCAGCCGGCTGTTTCCCCTGAAAACTAGTGAAGCTCTACCGTGTGAATGTGGCTCGTCCCCTAATCATGCCCCAGAGGCTGGTAAACAGCTTGTAAATAGTGGGAAGAACACATTCAACTCCACGTAGACAGTGATTCAATTAGTCTCCTCTATTACTCCGGCTGCGCCTAAAAGGCTGAAATCATCCAGTTCCTGCTGTACGTTCATCTGCCCAGACATCAGACTATCTCCCAGATTTCTTGACACAATTCCAAATTAGGCAAATGAAATTCTTGTTTTGTCTCCCATCTGTAGGAAGCCAGGTCCTATCTGGAGGATACTCGAGGGAGATCGAGTTCTCTGTCCATTTCTTCCTCCAGACAGGTGAGAAATCTATCAGGATGCACGCAACCCTGCTCATCCCCCTGTGCACAGGCTTCTAATGAATATTGATATCACAAGTCCTCGCGTGATTTGTTTCCATCTGGCCCCATCGGACAGGGTGTATTAGTGGAGACAGCCTTCAACAACAGGGCTTTGTTCACTATTATGAGACTCCCTTTTCGTATTCATGCACAGAGCACATCCCTCACACGCAACTACCACAATCCCCTCCCTCCTCGCTTCCTCTGTCCTTTTTTTCTGGGAAATCTACTTCTTATCAAGGATCTGGTAATCCAGGGAAAAAAAAGCCAGGAAGCATTGAGCTGTCTAGTCTTCATCAGATAGGAGAATTCCAGAAGGTAAAGCTGTCTCCATCCCTTGCCCCTCCTCCCCATGCGTATCCGGCATCCCTCCTCCCTGTGCCCACACTGCATGCTCCCAAAAAAGAGTTTCTTGAATTTAAATTGTCCTCAGTCATTGAGATAAAAGGCGATGTAGAAATAAATAGTCATGGAATCATTTTTCTCAGCAAATATTTCTGAGTATCTACAAAGCACCAGCTCTGCCTTTGCCAGGGTCAAGGGAAGCATGGTGAGCAAGAGAGACACACTCCCTCCCCACACAAAGCTCATGGTCCCAGAGGAGCCAATTAAACAAATAAAAACAAGATGTGCAAAGGTTGAAATAGGGAAATCAACAGATAATCTATCATTTCTAACAGGGTTAAACTTCCTGTGCCTTGGGGTCTTCTTCTATCCCTTACTTATTCAAACATAGAATACATTTATCAAGTGCCTACCACGTTTGGGCCAAAGACATGGCCCCTATTGTTGAGATGCCAACAGGGCTCTTGGGGAAACAGACACAAAAACAGCAGCCAATCAGTGTGGTGAGAGCCAGGAGGGAGGCCAGGCTAAGGGAACAGTGAGGAAGTACTAAGATGGCCTGAGGATGCGGGAGGTGGTAAGAAACAGGGCTGGTCAGAAAGGAAGGTTCACCAAGGAGCTGAACAAAATCACAAAGACCCTTGCAACGGGCCTGCCTCCTTCCTAGAATGACTATTTTCTTCCAATGGGATTTGTATGCGAAAGGGCAAAGGAAATGATAATAATCTCTAAACGAAATTGAACTATGTTTATCGGTTCCTTTCTGGTGATAAGCATTTGAAATCACTGAGCAGATCACTTATCAAAAACTTGATTTCCTCAGGCACCTGAATGGCTCAGTCAGTATAGCATGTGACTCTTGATTGCGGGGTTGTGGGTTCAAGTCTCTGGCTGGGTGTAGAGGTTACCTAAAAATTTCTTAAAGAAAAAAACTTTACTTCCTTACAAATACTAAAACAATTGGCTTTTATATTCATGTAAGCTCCTAATTTGATTCCCAGATTCTTTGAGGGCAGACATTGTTTTCCACTAAAATGACATTATTTATGAAAATGTTAGAGAGTGTGGATGTATCTAAGGGCTAAGTTGAAATGTAACCTTGGTTTAATTAAAAAAGAAAAGGACTGTTAGGCAAGCTAATAGTGTAAACAAAAACACGATGGGGGTATTTCAACCACTTAAAAGAAGGAAATGTATTCAAGAGCATAAGTATCTGATTTTTTTAAATAACGAGATTCCTATTACAAAATATTCTTCCATAATCATCAATAGAGATCATCTGGAGACTCTTATGGTAGCATTTTATTACTTCACTTACACTTAATACTAAAGACAAAACAACAATTGATATAGCACCTTGGAGTTTATAATGTGCCTTTACATGAATTGACTGAATTTTTATCACAAGAATCCTTTAAGGTTGACAACATGATTTCCACTTCAAGAAACCAATGCTAAGATTATGTGAACTAACAATAGCCCTAACAGAGAAAGAGTGACCAAGAAGAGACACTGGAGGGAATCAGGAAAAAGGAATGTCAAGGGCAATGGTGTGATTTCTTGGTCATCCAACAAAGTGAGAAAGAACAGGTAAGTGTGCCCATTTAACTTCACAGTTAAGGTGATACTAGCAAGGGCAAATCCTGTTGAATGTTGGAGAATAAACTTTCACACTGTAGCTGGCTCTCCCAATCAGCTCTTGCTTCAAAAGAAGGAAAGAGGGGTGCCTGG